CCATTAACAAGGTTGTCAAGTTGTGTCCGACCGTAGGGGGTGGTGCTCATCTCCATTACTAAGCTGAAGAGCCAGCGTTGTCAGAGACTGTTCTGTGATCATGGGGCCAGCATGATTGCACAGAACGCTGTTTACCTTCCCACCGAAGTGGTACCTATTTATCTACTTGCATTTGCATGCTTTTGAACTGTTAGGTTGGCAGAAGCTGAGATTAGTGATGGGAGCTCTATTGTGGTACAGGTATCATATGGTGCAAACAAAGCTTTTGATTTTTTTTCCCAATTTAAATAAGAACAGCCATGTGGAGATACTACTTTCTATATCAGTGTTATTCGTCTTGCTTTATATTTAATATCAGCTAACATAGGGCTTTTGCAGACTGCCAGAAATAGTGCAAATCGAGTCCACTTTTAGGGTTAGGGCTAGGGAATCATGGGAACTGTATTTTATTGTGGCACCAGAGCTCTCTGACAGAGAAGGTTCAATGTCTCAGAAAAAACAACAACAATTCCCATGATTCCCTAGCACTAACCCTAACCCTTAAAGTGGACTCAATTTGCACTATTTCTGGCAATCTGCAAAGGTTAATAGCTGCTGGAGCAGATCAATTTGGTGAGTGCTTGGGAGAAATGAGAAATTATACTGGCTCTCTTAAAGTACAGCAAAGCATGAACACTTACTAAATATGAAAAGACAAGCAATAGGATGTTTTAAAATAGTAAAGGGACAGCTTTAAAGGTAGATTCCAAAGAATTCACTGAACATCACATAGGGCCTGTACAAACTGCCAGAAATAATCCAGCTTGAGACCACTTTAACAGTCCTGATTCATTGCTAGGGAATCATGGGAATTGTAGTTTTTTTCTGAGACATTGAGCCTTCTCTGTCAGAAAGCTCTGGTGCCACAATAAACTACAGTTCCCACGATTCCTTAGCACTGAGCCAGGACAGTTAAAGTGGTCTCAAGCTGGATTATTTCTGGCAGTCTTTACAGGCCCATAGTCTCACTTTCTGTGTTTTCAAATTATTTTTTTCAAGGCTCTTAGTAGATTTGGGAAAATGGCCAGTTGATTTGGTGATTTGCCAAGTGAACACACATTGTATGTAATTATTGATATTGACTCTTATCTGAATTCAGACAGTGTTTTTTATATATATATATATATATATATATATATATATATATATATATATATATATATATATATGGTTACACTATCGTAAGGTAATGTTCGAGGTACCTTACGATAGTGTAACCATATATATATATATAAAACACACACACACACACACACACACACACACATATAAAGACATAAGTTTTTTTAAACTTTGTTAATGCTATTAACAAGTAGATATTTGAAAGACCATGCTGAATCAGAACACATTTTCTGTATGCCAAAAGCTCAGTAATAAGATATGTAGACAGACTTCTTTAAGGAGGATGCAAAGCTTGGAGTTATTTGGCTTAGCTCTGATGTGGCAGCATTAATCCATTAGTTCTGTAAATTAAGAAAATTAAATTGTTAAAAATGGTTAAAAAATGGCCTCAAATTTCCTAATCATTCCACTCCCACAAAAGTAAAGTAATAAAAACAATATTAAAAAGTAATGTCCTTAGTGTTTAAAGATGAAGAAAAATAATTTTTTTAAAAAATACAGTAGTTTTAATTTTTTAAAACAAATATCAATAATGAATTAGCTTTTTAAAAAAAATATTTCTAAGCTTATGGAAGTTGGTTCTGCATTTGAGAATGCTCTGTCATGTGTACTCTATAGACAGAATGTAGGAGAGTCAGCAGAATCTTAGTTGTTAAATAAACCTACGTAGTAAATGTGTTTGGAACTCCTCCCCTTGTTGCCCACAAATGCAATCTTAATTGCTGCATTTTGAACCAATCAAAGCATCTGAACACTTTTCAAAGACAGTCTCAAAGTACTTTGCAACAGTCTACTCTCAGTGTAACTACAATGTGAATGACTGTGACACAATCTGATTTTTCCATGAGGGGATACATTTGATATGTGTGCAGGAGATGCTGAAAAACATTCCTAGTCACGGCCAGCATCTGGGCATCCAAGAACAGTATTGAATTTAGAAGTGTGCTTGAATAAGCTCTGGTTCTTTTTCTTAAGTGATAGTGCATTCAGAATAAGAGTTCAGTCATATCTCTCTCTTCTTCCACCTCACTTTTATTGATACCTTGCCTTTCCCCAACAAGCTGGCATTCAGGGCAGCTAATTTAATTGTTAATATTTTGTTTAAATGCTCAGTGAATACAGTTTGTAACTAATTAAGGCATATGCTTACTCAAAACATCAAGTCTCTTTGTACTAAATTATTTTTAGATAAATCCTACTCCAGGGATCTCCAATGGTCACTATGATGAGTGTGCTGCTATCTGCTGGTGACCATGCCAAGCCCTGGGTTTCCTCTCAGAGTTGCAGGTCATTCCCAGAATTACGTGTTGCTTTGGAGGTCCTGCGGAAACAATTTTTCACCCTAGCCATTTCCAGTTCATATTTGTGAGAAAAGCTGAGGACTGTTTGATGCTTCACTTCCGAGGTGCTCAAAGTGCCTTGCTTAGTACAGCAGCAAACTAACAAATCTTACATCTTCCTTTTTGGGTCCAAAGAGAGAAGCTCTTGGGTTTTTTGAGGGGGCATTGTTGTTTTGAGCTCCCTTGAGGTGTTGAAACAAGCTGCATCCTTCTTCCATAGCTTGGACCTGGAGAATGTAATGGAGATCATCCCTACAGTTGCATTGGAACCCCACACACTAAATCTCCCACTCCTGTTTTCCAAACTCAGAAGTATAAAGAGCAGCATGAAATTAATTTCAAGTGTCTGTTTCACTGCACCATGGCCAAGACAGACACATTTATGGATCTTGTTGAAATCATCTAGGATGCTTTGGAACTCCTTGTCCCATAGTACATGTTGTAATCTGCTTGTAGTCGAACAATTGAGCACTTTGGAGAATCCCATGTAGGATGAGCAAATTATGAAGACCACCATGTCCACCTAACCTAATTTGATCATGTTTGTTAGGAGGTAAACTCCACTAATTTCACTGTAACTTGCTTACAGATGTATAGGTTTAAGATTACATACTTTATGAGCAAAGTCCTTTTCCTCATTACCATCCTGAATCATTGTATGTTCCAGTTTACAAGATAAGTAGATAAATTTCAAAGTGCTTTACTGAAGGCTAGAAAGATTATTTGTTTTTTGGTGTCTGAATCCTGATCTCCTGGGTCCAAATCTTGACATGTGTCTCCTGAATAATTCATTCAGATTATGGAATGCCACAAGGAATGAACTTCTTATTCTTAGTTTCGTAGTTTGAAGTATATTTTAGCGCAAAACCAAAAACATGCTGGTGCTTGAAGCATAAATAGAGTACAAGCAAAAGGTGCGGAATTCAATTCCTGGCAGGGAATTATTCTTTTCCAAGACCCTGGAGATCCACTGCCAGTCATTATAAACACTATATAGATGGATCAATGTTCTGACTGAATATGAAGCCTCTTCCTATGTTTCTCTTGAAGGAACAGGACTTATGTCCAGAAAGAGAGTATTTCACTTTCCATTTATCGCTTCATTGTCTGCTCTCTTTACAAGAGTTATGCTTAGACTGCCCAACATTTTTTGTGATATGCCATTTGAGGTGTTGGAACTGTGAATGTGTATATGCCTCATCTTTAATTTTAGAACAAACAGTTGTTTATATATTCACTGAGTAAATATTTCTGTGATGTCTTCCCTCTTTTGGCAGAAGAATTGATGTTTATTTTTCTAAGATGACTGGAATATATTACTGTTTTTAGTGTACACAAGTCCTTGGTTTTGCATGGGTTGGAATAGGTCTTAGTTTATACACTCAAGCCTTCAAGCAACTTGGACTGCTTCTCTCTATCCTTGCACTGTATACGATGTGAACCTATGTGCTGATTAGGAACGTCTGCTACCTGGTGACAGAATACTCCATTGCAGGCTTTAAATATATCAGCTTCTTAAAATTATTGGATGAGTTTGACCCCCTCCAGCCAGGTACACACCCTTATTTTTAAAAAATATGAGAGGCCTATGTTATTGCTGTTTAGATTTAAACTTTGGAAATTGTATATGGTTTTTAAAAACTCAAGCAGTGTCTTTTGGCTTTACATGTCCCTCCTGCTTACATGCTCAATGACCATGTTTTATGGCAGTTCTTTTGGCTACAGCATGCTAACACTCCAGACATGAGACTGTAATCTAGTACAGTTGCCCATCTCAATTCACAGGGGATCTGTTCTAGACCACCACCACCACGCGAAAATGGCAGCTCGCAAATATTCAAGCCCCATTGAGATTACACATGCATCAGTGGCGCACGCGCAGGGCTACGCACAGGCCCACCGGGCCATTTTAGTTATAATTGTTGTCCCTTCCTGTGAAGAGAGAGACCACGGACCTAAAGTCTGCGAATGGGGAGGGACAATTGTAGTTATTTCAAAAATGCTGTATATTTTGTTGATAATTGCTGTTAAGTCAATTTTCACGGTGACGTGATGAGTGAGAGGCCTTCATGACACCCTATCATCTACCGCCCTGCTCACTTCTTGCAAACTCAAAGCTACAACCTCCTTGACTTTATCTATCTACCTTTAATGTGTTCCTCTTCTTTTTCTACTGCCTCCTACTTTACCCAACAATGTCTGCTTTTCTAATGAACACCCACAGTACAGTAGCCTCATTTGACTTCTAGAAAGAGTTCAGATTTGATTTGCCCATTCATTTGTCTTTTTAGCAATCCAAAGTATCTGTAGCACTCTCATACAGCTTATTGTTGTTTGTTGTTGTGTGCCTTCAAATCATTTCCAACTTATGATGACCCTAAGGCACACCTGTCACAGGGTTTTCTTGGCAAGTTTATTTTGAAAGGGGTTGCTATTGCCATCCTCTGAGGCTGAAAGAGTGTGACTGTCATTTGCCCAAAGTCACCCAGTGGGTTTGTATGGCTAAGCTGGGATTCGAACCCTGGTATCCGGAGTCATAGTCTAATGTTCAAACCACTACACCACTCTGGCTCATATCTGTGTCTCTATCTGTAGCACTGTCATCCAACATCACATTTCAAATGAATTGATTCTCCTGTCAGTTTTCTTCACTATCCAACTTTCACAGCCATACATAGAAACTGGAACTACAATGGCATGGGCAATCCTGGCTTGCAACCAGGTAATAAAAATGGGGGAAACTCCATGAAATTGCTGTGGAAGAGTTGTGAGGTTGGCTGGCAAAAAAAAAAAAAAAAAAAAAAAAAAGTCCTTATTACCATTAGTGTTTGGGAAGACATTTTTGTAACCCTGACCATTCCTCTCCACCATATTTTCAGCCAACATGCATGTCTGCATGAGGACTCTGCAGGTAGTTAAGAAGGAAACTAGATCATAATTATGGAACTGGTACCAAAGTAATGTATAGATTAATACTGTGCTGGGTTTGAAAATTGACACCTACTGATCATTTGTTGGGATATAAGTTTTATGGCAGTGTGTCAGAAGATGACAAATCTATGATACAAGATAGCCAATTTGCTTTGTTATTTGGTCAACATTTTGAGTAGAAATGCTCTGCTTGTGAATTGATGAGAGTAGTTCACAGTTTCACATTGTTTCCCCCTCCCCTTTATTGTTCATTGGCCCATCCTCTTGGGTCATTTCTATCCTTCTAGAGCAGTTGGTCAAAAACCAGTATCATGCTGGGCTTTGCTGCCTGAGCAATGGAACATCTATCCCTCCCTGAAGCCCTCTGTGCCACCTGTGAACTGGCTTTCTCTTCCTTCTGGAGCAGCTTTTGTTAGGGTGGGGTAGACCTGTGGGGATGCAGGTCTGAGAGGGTATTCACCTCTCCCAGTTCTACCGGTAAAAGGAGATCATTTGTTATGTGCAAGCATATGACTTGTGGTCTCTTGGATTAAAGCTTAGTAGGGCGAGTATAGAACTGTTGCTGATGTTATCTTCATGTTCAGCAAGCAGTGTTGTTGAAATGAATAGGCAAAAGTGATCTAAGTTTACCCCATAGTAATCCCAGTTAAACTTCCTAGCAGTAGCTAAGGATGACTGTTGCCTTCCAGTGTGAGTCAGATTGGCTCTGTTCCATTAGAATTCCAGTGGCATTCTAAGAACTAGGCTCTTGCTTGTGGGAGACACTTATTCACAGGCATTATACTTCATAGGGAAGACAAAAGAATAGGTTATTTTTCTAAAACAAACATTTTCCTAAAAAAAACTTTTTTCTGATCTGAACATACAATGATTATATTCCAATCCAAACAAACCCTCATAAGTTTGAATGTTGCGGCGTGCAGTTACTGATGACAATTAGCCAGTGTTTACTTACTTATCTTTATTTCATTTTTATTTAGTTTAGCTCTACTGAATAGATTTTTCTTTGGCATCATTTGAAGTGGGCTGTGACAACAAAACAGTGGGAGATCAATTAGGTAAATGCTTAGTGCTATCTTGTCTTAATTATTCAGAGGTAAATGCTTAGTGCTATCTTGTCTTAGTTATTCAGAGGAAAATGCTTAGTACTGTCTTGTCTTAATTATTCAGTTAAGAGCCAAATCTATACAGTGTAGACTTGTTCTGATTCAGAAGTCCTATCTAAGACTTTTTTTTCTTGTTCCTTGTTTGTGACTTTGGGGCTCCTGTGGGAACAAGAAAGGATTTGCCTTTAAATGGTGGAAACGGTATATTTCTCTCTTTCTCTTCTGTGCTTCTTTTGGAGTGTATTTCTGCTCTTTTTTATTCAATTTTTCAAAATAAACATCCTGTTTTTGTCTTTCAATCCAATATGGAAGAGTCTCAGAGGACTTAGAAAGAGGTTTCTCTCCTTCTCTCCCTGTCAATCCAAGTGCAAACAGGGGCATGTATATTATTCAGATATTTTTATCTCATATGCCATGTGTCCTGCAAGGTATGTGGAGCCTCTACCACAAGTATCTTCCCAGGAATAAATACCTAATCTTGGATGGAAGTTCATTGTTGTCAACAAGGTGTGAGAGAGGTATGACAAGATGGAACGGGGTTGACTTTTGGGTGTGCTGAAATCAGAGCTGGTCATGTAAGTCAGCCACCAGTCTTGTTGCCAAGGTTGCCAGGCAGAATGCAGGACAGGGCTCCTGTATCTTTAATAGTTTACAGACCTTGAAGCCAGGAATAAAAAGTATAAAGATCTGCCAGGCAGAATCATGTGACAGTTCCTGCTTCACTCCCCCAACCCACCTTTTAGTTTCTGCATTCTCCCACGCCACTTCCAACAGGACCATTTACAGGCTAGTGGAGAGTGAGGAAGGAGGTGGTGAAGCATCCAGTTGCATATCACAAACTTTTCAACCTAATTCATTTTTAACAATTGGTTCATATTTTTCAAATAGGTGTGTGACTTCTGAAAACTCAAATACTTGATTTGTGTTGATGAAGTAATACAGTGAATATTCAGTACATTTCAGTAATTTGCTTTCTTCCTTCTTTAGGGTGAGTCATGTCTTCATGTTCTGAGCTTGTAGATTCCAAGGCTGAGCTTACTGCTTTGCTGGAGCAGTGGGAAAAAGAACATGGCAGTGGACAAGATATGGTTCCTATACTTACTCGGTAAGTCCAGTTATTTGGAATTCTAGCTAGTCCCACTATACGGATCAACTATTGAACACAGTGTTTTGGAAAACCTATCTTTAAAATGCTGAATGAAAAGCAAGGTGTACTTTAGGGTTTATACAGTTGGCCCTCCAGATCCATGGATTCAACCTTCCACAGCTTGAAAATACTCAAAAATATATAAATTCCGAAAAGCAAAGCTAGATTTTGCCATTTTATGTAAGGGACCCCATTTTACTACACCATTGTATTTAATGGGACTTGAGCATGCACGAATTTTGGTATCCACAGGGGGGTCCAGGAACAAAAACCCAGTGCATACCAAGGGTACACTGTAATTAATACAGCAGTCCCTTGGTTTTCATGGGCGGATCCATTCTGGATCTGCCCAGGGATACCAAAATTTGCAGATGCTTAAGTCCTTTTGTCCTCACTGCTGGCGTGGCCACCATTGGGGACAAAGGGACTTTGCCACCCCATCTCCCCGAAGCCTGCCTTG